GCCCCTATATGGCCTCTTGCACACAGATTTAATAATTTGCTGATATTTATATGCAGGCTCTTGGTGGCAGAGCCTGGCAGGAAGATCCTGAGTTAGGCTAGGTTCACACCTATCCGGTTTGCGTTTGATTCGTTTCTGCAGTGCTTTTTTGTGGTGCGTTTTGCGTTTTTGCACATGCGTTTTTGACACTGATTTTTTTTCAATTTGTTGTTGGGCAGAATAAAACACAAAACGCATAAAAACGCATAAAAAATGCCTAAAAAACGCTTTTCTGCGGTGTCTCCATTGAAGCCTATGGAACCAAAAATGCAACATTTTGCATTTAAAAAAAGTCTCTGACCCTTTCCAAAAAACGCACCGGGTGAAAACGCAGAGCTGGGAACCTAGACTAAAAAACACAAGATATGTTACATACAGACCTTTCATATCCTTGCATATCCACTTCTAAAGGTCACACACACGTAAAAATCTTCACTTCACAGGTAGGTGTTTGGTGATCAGTCCACATGCAGGATAAATGGTGAGCGGGTGGATTATTGATCATTGAACTCAGGGCCGTGGATAAGGGGGTACCACCAGTCTACCTGTACCTGTGTGTGGCCCAGGGCAGCAGGGGGGCTCAGGCAGTTGGGTCAATTGGATGTGGGCACGGAGGGTGATTGGCACAGCGGAGAGGGGCATGAAGTACTGGAACCGATCCCCTGTATGGCTCTCCCTGCAGCAGTTGAAAGATTCTTCTTCAGACAGACCCATACAGGAGACTAGTTAAAGTATGTGCCCCCCCCTCCAATGCACCAACCACCCTCCCTGTGCACTATATGTTTCCCCCTACTGCCCAGGCCCTTGTGTGCCCCAACACCCCTGAAGTGCTGCCAGCTTCCTTTCCCTACTACCCAGCGGCAGCGTGGGGGAGTGGGAGAGGGGTCTGGTAAATTTAGATTGTAAGCTCCAGGAGCAGGGCCCTCACATTCCTTCTGTACTGAAATGTATTGGAATTTTACTGTCTCCCTTATATTGTAAAGTGCTGAGCAAACTTTTGGCGCTATATAAATCTTGTATAATAATAATAGTATGTCACATTTACCAGCCCCTTCCTTTCTTGAATGAACACAATGAGTGATCAGTACCGATCATTCACTGTGTTCCTTTATAAATGAAGCATAGTAAACTGTGTTTTTTTTGGGGGTGTTGGTGGGGGGGGGGGGTCCCCGTGGTTTCTAACAGCAGCCCTGATTGCACTAATGACTTAATGGACTTGTTTGGACTTTGGTTGTTGCATTTCATATATATGAGCATTGAGCATTTTAGTTACATTTGTCACACTGGAAAATTTTGTATAGATATATTGGATGATTTTACACAGTCCAGAGGAGATAACACTGAGGTATTTATGTGGTATATATATATTACTTTTTTATACTTTTTTATCAGTCTCCAGCCCTGGCAGACTGATCACACCAAAACCCTCAAACGACAAAGTCGTGCCCTGGAGCGACTATGGCACAAAAACCAAATCCCAACAAGCCTTCACCCGCTATAAATCTGCCTTCCGCACCTACACCTCCTCCCTCCATGCTGCCAAACAGGCCTACTTCTTGACCCTCATCAAGGCCCTCTCCTCCCAATCCTCGCCGACTCTTCTCTGCCTTCAACTCTCTACTCTCTCCACCCCCACCTCCACCAGCACCTCACTCACTGCCCTTGAGATTGCCAATCACTTCAAAAACAAGATTGACACAATTCGCAAGGACATTACCGCAACTCACACGCCCTCTCAACCCGTCCCCTCTCACACAGCTACCCCCTTATCCCCCCTCCCCCTTGACATAACCCGCAGGGACTTCGTCGCTGCTCAAACTCTCTCCAACCCCCTTCACACTCACTCAGCTACCCCCTCATCACCCCTCTCCCACGGCCCCACCACTGCTCTGACCTCCTCTTCCACCCCACCCTACATTCCTCATACTGAAGCTCCCCCACACTCCGCACCTTTGACCTTACTACCATCGAGGAAGTCTCCAAGATCCTCTCTGATGCCCGCCTCACCACCTGCCCCCTCGACCCTATCCCTCACAACTCTTACGACCTTCCTCCTCCTCCATCCTACGCTCCCTCACCCACATCTTCAATCTCTCTCCTCTCCTCAGGCACTTTCCCCTCCCCTCTGAAACATGCACACATCACCCCCATACTTAAAAAGCCCTCCCTGGACCCCAATGACCCGAACAACCTCAGACCCATCTCCCTGCTCCCATTTACATCTAAACTCCTTGAGCGCCTAGTCTACACCCGCCTATGCTCTCACCTCAACGACAACAACCTCCTCGATCCCCTACAGTCCGGCTTACCGTTCCCCCCTACACTCCACAGAAACTGCCTTACTCAAACTCTCCAACGACCTGCTAACCGCCAAAGCTAATGGCCACTATTCAGTGCTCCTACTCCTTGACCTCTCTGCGGCCTTCGACACAGTCGACCACCCCCTCCTCCTCATAAAACTACACTCCCTCGGCCTCAGAGATTCTGCTCTCTCCTGGCTCTCATCCTACCTGTCACAACGCTCCTTCAGCGTTACCTATAATGCTACCACCTCCCCCTCACTCCCCCTCTCTGTTGGGGTCCCTCAAGGCTCTGTCCTCGGGCCCCTTCTCTTCTCCATCTATACCTCCTCCCTTGGCCAACTCATACACTCTCACGGCTTCAACTACCACCTCTATGCCGACGACACACAAATCTATCTCTCAACCCCCCACCTCACCCCCTCGGTCTCAGCCCGAATCACACACCTACTGAGCGACATATCAGACTGGATGTCGCTTCACTTCCTTAAATTGAACCTCTCCAAAACCGAGTTTCTTGTCTTACCCCCAGCCCGGACACCACCCCCCATTGATTTCTCCGTCACATCCAACAACGCCCCATCAAACCCGCCCTGCAGGCTAGAGTACTGGGTGTCATTCTGGACTCCAACCTATCCAGCCCCAAGTCCAATCTTTAACAAACTCGTGCAGACTCCACCTCCGCAACATCGCCAAAATCCGCACGTTCCTAACCCCAGAAACCACTAAACAGCTCATCCACTCCCTCATCATATCACGACTCGACTACTGCAACTCCCTCCTCACTGGCCTGCCTCGCCGCTGGCTATCCCCACTTCAGTCCATCCTGAATACGGCTGCCAGACACTCATTCACCTTTCCAACCGCTCTGTCTCCGCCACCCCCCTCTGCCAATCCCTCCACTGGCTTCCGATTGCGCAACGGATCAAATTCAAAATCCTAACACTGATGTACAAAGCTGTCCACCATACTGCCCCGAACTACATCACTGACCTAATATCCAAGTACCGCCCAGCACGCACACTCCGCTCCTCACAAGACCTCCTTCTCTCTAGTTCCCTGGTCTCCTCCTCCCATGCCCGCCTCCAGGACTTCTCCAGGGTGTCACCCATCCTCTGGAACTCCCTGCCCCAACCCATCAGATTATCACCTACTCTCCTCTCCTTTAGGCGCACCCTGAAAACCCACCTCTTCAGGGAAGCCTACCCCACCCCCTGCTAACTTGCCGACCTCCTCCACTTTTCCTACCACTCCATCCCCCACAGCTATCTCCTCCTGTACCACTATCCCCTCCCTCCTAGATTGTAAGCTCCAAAGAGCAGGGCCCTCGATCCCCTCATGTTTTGCATTGTATTGGTATTGTTCTGTCACATGTTCTGTCCCCCTTTGTAATGTACAGCGCTGAGCGAACTATTGGCGCTTTATATAAATACTGTATAATAATAATAATATACTAATTTTGTTTATTTTATTTACTTTATGGTGTCACATTTTTGGGCACTGGAGATGTTTACAACATTGACATCTGTAGGGTTTTTATATCATCCTATTCTGCTAGCAGCCTTTTTTCATCACAGGGAAGACTAGATTTCTAGATTTGACGTTTTTTTCACCCATGTGCAAGAGACCCATTACTCTCAGGAAAGGTTTACTTGGAGTGAAGGATTTGTAAGTCCATCCAATGTAGCTGAAGCCCCAGCACTCTCTGTTCTCTTGTCGCTTGCTGCCACCTGGTGGACAAACTATAAATATAATATTCAGCCTTGGAAAAAGACAACATAGGAATTTTTTTCTAGGCAGGGTTTCTCATTGTCACTTATCACATGCTTGTAGTCCTTGCTGAACTTTCAACAGTTCTTTTCTGAAAGTGTTCAAACACTTACCATGTGCTGCCAATAAGCTCGGTGCGAGTTTTCATTGGGTGTCACAAGTGTTTATGAAAGGTTGGATATCATGGAACACCGCATGGAGCATCTGAGTTAATGTGACTGGCTGGAAAACTACCTGAATGTCACCACAAGATGCTTGTGAGTAACGTTTACTAACATTGATGGCCCATTTAAATCTATGCATGTGAGCATAGACATGTTTTTTTTTGTAGCATTAGGCAGGTATGTTAACATGCATCAACATGCGTTTCCATTCTTCATTGATGTATGTTGACGTACATTTTTAATGTGGTTGAAACGCTACCCTGGCAGGGGCTGCTTGATAATGCTTGTCCCCACTGGTTGCCCTGACCTTGCAAGCCTCCCGACCAGGGCCGGTGCTTGCACTAGGCAAACTAGGCGGCTGCACTGCCAACTAGGGGCACCTGGGCACAGCTTAGGCTGGCACTTTCTCTGTGTGGGATGCCACCATGTCATGAATGATCCTCTAGCTGAGGGTAGGGGCAGCAGAGAGGAGGAGACTACAGAGAAGGACAGAGAAAGAAGCCCGGACTCTGGGGCCAGTGTAGCAGCTGAGCTGCCGCTCCTTCAAGTGTTCCTCTCAGACTCAGTCCCTTACTGCAAGTCAGCTGGCGGCTGCTGATCACTGTGGCATTCCAGCCCTTCTCTTCCCATTCATCAGTGGAGGCAGAGCTGCGCCTGCAGAGGAAGGTAATGTATGACTTTGAAGTCTCATGTCTGTGTGAGTGTAACCTGGCCAGCCATCCATCACATGTGCAATGTGTCAGTGAGTGATAACATCATCACGATCCCAAAGCCTGCTCTTCCAGTGCCTTCTGATCTGTGTCACTGTGTTGGTGGTGGTGTGTTGTGTCGGAGCTGTCACTGTGTGGGATCGCTCAATTCAGGTGTTCTCTGTGTGTGTGGGCCGGGCTGCCTGCTGTCACAGCGTTTTATCGCCCCCCATTGCCTGGGGAATTCCAGCCTGGGATCTGTCAGAGTGTTAATCCATCATCCTCCACTCACTGCAACTGTCACCCTGCCACTACCAGCCACAGATACAGTCCATCCGTGACACTGATTTTGTCTTTATTATTAGTGCTGGTGGCGTCTTATGGCACTTATTTTTGCAAATTAAAAGAAATTTAGCAGTTTCATGTTTTGTTGATTTAATATTTTTTACTGGGGGGGAGGGGGGTGCAAGTAGCTGATCTTACCTAGGGCACAAAATAGTCTAGCACGGACCTGCTCCTGACACCTGAGTTCAGACATATTTCAACATTATAGAATAATAATGCAAGAAACACAATTCTTAGGAATAATAGGTTTAGGTTATACAATCCCAGTTAATGCACAAAAAAAGAAAACACTGGTAAAATAGGAATTATCAGTTAGCAATGTTTAACAGTAAGCAGTATGCTTCAACTTAAACTGCAAAACCTGCGGTAAGAGAGGGATTAAAAAGGTTTGTTGATTTATCAGCTCCCTTTAGATCATCAGCACCGCAATGGTGGATGCAGAGAATTATGTAAATTTATACTCTGGCAGAAATAGATTCTCCAATTTGAATAACAATGGCTGTAGAAGGCTTTAGAAGAGAAAAAGCCCCTTTAACTAGAAGTTGCAACTTGAGTCCTGTGATGTTTAAGGTTCTTGATATGGTGGTGTCTGTTGTCTTCTGCTAGCGATGATGGGGCCCATACACAGTAGTAAATACTGGTAATTTACTGGGCGGCACAGTGGCTTAGTGGTTAGCACGTCTGCCTTGCAGTAAAATGGGTCATGGGTTCGATTCCTGACCATGGTGCCTCCTGTATGGAGTTTGCATCTTCTCCCTGTGCTTGCGTGAGTTTCCTCCCACACTCCAAAGACATGCTGGTAGGTTAATTGGATCCTGTCTAAATTGGCCCTAATATGGGTATGTATGAATGGAAGTTAGGAACCTTAGATTGTACACCCCTTGAGGGTTAGGGACTGATGTGAATGTTTAATATATATGTAAAGCACTGCGCAAATTGACAGTGCTATATAAGTACCTGAAATAAATAAATTCAATGAAGTTAAGCAGCTAGGCTGTGGAACTACTCAAAGCTGATGCAGGGAAGCTAAATACAGTCCTGGTGTGGTGATTGACATCACCGCTGTGCTGAATTGATGTGCAGAGCCTTCGCTAACAATCTGTCTCTGGAGGAGAATGACATTCCCACTGTTTTCATCTCTGAATCCCGTGCCCAGAGAGTGACACAGTCCTTTGCTGTAGAGTACATCTGCTCTCCCAACATCCTTCTCATTCTCCAGTTCTCTGGTTGCTGTAGTTCAATCAGGAATACAGGATGTATTGGCTATAGGACTACAGGTCCCAAGATCCTCTGCTGTCAGAAAAAAAGATCCACTCTGCTAACAGGAAGTGATGTAGCAATCCCAGTACTGGGCACTAGGGGGAAAAGGACTAATTATAGTCTCATCTGTAAATGCCCCTGAAAGGCATAATGATATAGCCAACACCTGGCTACACAGTTTTGAATTTAAGATTTGAAAATATGGGGTAACAGCCATTGACCAAGGCTTGTTAATACCTGTTGCCAACATGTCACCCTTTCTATGCTTTGCAGTGCACTGTCATTGGCTTCTATGGGCCTTCCAAAATACTAAAATGCAGGAAAAAATGGACATATTGTATTTTTCATGCCCCGCAGCACAGAGATAGGAACCAGCACTGTTTTTGTTATAGGGAACCTGGACACATGCATTTTAGCATATTGTAGTACATATGTCAAACAGTGCAAATAGGCACAACGAGTAAGTGCAGTAGACCAAAGGTGCTGCCAGAGTCCCAAACATCCCAGAGCACCCCTGGTCTATCTAGATTGAGATGTTCCATAGTGAAAAAGGCAAATGTCCTTTTCTTTTGTTCTCGTGCTGGCATGATCTGCAAGTGTAAATGGGCCCTGAAGGTTGAACCAATAAATGCAAACAGGTAACACTTTTACCTACCTACCTTACCTTAAGGAAGTAGTGGATGCAGGCTTAAAGTAGACCTTCACTTGAAAATAAAAGTACCACACTTCCTCTTTCACCCGCGCTGCACAAGGATGACATTGCTTTGGACCACAACCCCTGAACTCCCCCACACACACACACCAGCAGTTGTCTAGGACAATTTCATATGCCCCGGGAGTCTGCAGGACCAGTTCCCTGCATCGCGTGATCTCACATGTGCACTGGGAAGTTGTCTGTGGATCATGAGGAAGTCACAGTTGGCTCCTGGGCCAGTATCAGGGTCTACCAAGGGCTCTGTTGTAAGGGCTTAATGGGCCCCTAAATGTTATTTTAAAGTGGACCCAGGGGTGGACTGACAACTCATGGGGCCCCCGGGCAATAGGGGATCATGGGACCCCTGTGTCCTTGCTCAAACTCAAAAAAGCCTATGAAAAAGGTACCAGGGGCATCTCATGGGGCCCTCTACTAACCCCGGGCCCTCGGGCAGTGCCCGATTTTCCAAATGGTCAGTCCGCCCCTGAGTGGACCTTCACCCTCTTCCACTACTTCCCTCCACCCCACACCTCCTCCTCCACTCACGCTGTTTACCTTTTTATAGTGAAAAAAGTCTGGCCCCACCTCCCCATGCATGTCATTTGCCTTGAAGGCCTGTAGGCCTGCTCCTCTTCTTGGGATAAGGAGGGGAGGGACTGAGGGGTAAACCAACTCTCAAAGTCTTCCTCTGGGCCTGCACTGGCCTGCTGTAACTCTCCTTCTCTATTGGGGCTAGGATGAGGAACCCCGAGGGAGAGGGGGAAGAGCAAGAGCATGGCAGTTGGATGTTACCTCCCAATCTTCTCCCCAGGGGAGGAGACACTTCTAGGGGACCTGCTCTACCACCTGCCAACAAGAGGAATGGTGGTCACCATAGCATGAAGACACAGACAGCAGTAAAACCACTGATAGGGAGTCTTAGCTGGGCTCGCTAAAACTGAAACTGCTGGACTTTTATTGTATGCTTATTATAGCAAAGGCGCCTTGTGTCTTTAAAGTGTATCTAAAGCCATTTTGTAGCCTTGGGTAGAGTAGGGAATGGCTAAAAACCATCAGTTTTTTTTACCTGTAGATATATCTATCTATCTATCTGATAGATAGATAAATTGGTACCTTTTTTTAACAAAATATAAAGAAAAAATATATAAAGTATTGTTAGCTTGTAACAATACCTCTATAGTGCAGTATTTGTTTGCAATGCAATATACTGTAAGTCACTTTTACCATACTGATCACTTTCTTCCTCTAGTGGCCAGTGTTCTTCATTACACTCTACAGTCCCCAATTCAACTGATAATTTGTATACTAAGCAGAAAATCTGCAGTGACAATGCACCAGCACAGTAATCTATAGCCAATTAGTCATACTCAGTAAAATTATAAAAGCGGTTATCTGCCATTCGCTTATGATTACTTTTATTTTGCACATAACTATTGCTTTTTACTTGTTCTTTAGTACAAAAAAAAAAAAAACAAACCCTGGGTATCACTTTATTAGGTGGCTTCATTACTGGTCGGGGCTGTCTGTTGACCATGGGAGACATTGTTTTTTATTACAGGTATAGTGCTGACAATTTACACAGTGTTTTGCATATTGTACACATGGTTGGATCTAGGGGGGGTGCTGGGGTGGGCTGTACCTCCCTAGATATCAGTTGCGCCCCCCCCCCCCCCCCCGCAAAGCCCTGAAGGAGTACACATCTAATTTCTGCTGCCTCTCTGCAAAGAAACATTTTCTGTGATCTCCTTGTCAGGTAATCACTGTTGTTCTGCCCAGCTATCCTCTCATAGCTGTGTGCTCTGTGGCAGGTAGCAGCAGTGGTGTATTTAGGTTTTGCGCTGCCCTAGGCAACACAAAAATCGTCTGCCTCCATGGACACCGACCAACACAACCCCCCCTTCCTCCTCCCATGGAGAGAGCCTGACCAACAAAACCCCTGCCCCCCACCCCTCAGGGCCTTCCACTACCCCCTTTCCCAGCGATAGAGAAACACTCATCTTCACAGCTCCAGGCGTCCCCGGGAACAAGAGCCAGGTTCTACATACACCATCAAGCAGCCCACAGCCTATCTGGGATCCCATCTGGTTCCCATGGTGCACGTGTCCTTTCTTTCATCCCTTTTTTTGGGGGTAGGTGCTGCCCCCCCCTGAAAAATGCCGCCCTATGCAAGTGTCTTGTTTGCCTTGTGGTAAATATGCCCCTGGGTAGCAGTGAGCATGCCTTGCTGTCACCCAATCTCCTGAGCTCCCAGCACAGCTCCTGGCTTGGGGCCCGCCACTCTACCACTCTGTGGACTCCCTGGACTCTTCCTGCTGTCTCCTGGGCTGAACTGCAGGTAAAGAGCTCCCTCCAGGATTAAAGGCTAAGGCAGGCCACAGATGATACAATTTTTCTTTCCTGCAACAAAAATCACACAGTTCCTCCTGCAGAGCCATTGTGTCCTCTGGTAAAGGTGGGGGGGGGGGGGGGGGGGTGGCGGAGAGCCATCCCTGCAGGGAGAACACAGTGATTATTGCTAGTGGCCATAGCTGTTGGCAATAATCGCATCCTAAAAATCCAACATACTGGTTGTACCCAAGTTGATCTATGGGTCCTCTTGGGTACAGTCATCTTGTCCATACATGGCTCAAATCGTCTATGGCTGGCTTTAGGGAAAAAAATAATAAATTAATATTTTTGCATAAAAAAATGGGCATTTATTATTTTATCCAACAGGAGCCTGAAAAGCATTGCACCCAAAATCAGTGGATCCCAGGTGCAATGTGGACTCCTGCAAACGTCATCTGGCTTATCCATTCATCCATCCATTAGTTTATCCATGCACAGGAAACTGTGAATGAATGACGTGGATATGTAGGCAAAGCCCGAAGTAGCCACACTCTTTGAAAAGTGAGAGCAGGTGCGGAGAGACGAACCCCCCCCCCGCCTGTTGTTACAGGAAAGGGGGAGAGGGGGCAGGAGTTGGAACATGTTACATGTTCCACCCTAAATACGGTTGAAATATGTAAAATGTAGAGCCATTGTGTTCACTGGTAAAGGTGGGGGGTGGCGGGAAGCCATCCCTGCAGGGAGAACACAGTTATTATTG